GACTTACCCAGCAACCAGGAGGCTTGCTGCACCAGGGCTGTGCTTTCAGATGCACATGAAGTCTCATCATCTCTGGATGCAGCCTGTGAGTGCCCCTGAGAAATAGAGCTGCACGTATACCAACAATTGTTGTTTTTTAAAATTTGCTTTTTAATTTTTTAAATCTTTTCTTTATTTGTATGGTACAGGGTCTCACTACACAGCTTCGACTGGTAGTGTACCTCCTGGCTTACTATCCCCCCAACCCCCGGCCAGTTCTGCACCACCACACTCTGTTCTGGTAGACAGCTCAGTACGTGATACCAGGGATAGAACCTTGGTCATTGCCCTCGCCATGCAGGCGCTTAGACCACAGAGTTATGTCCCCAGCTCAACTATTGTTCTGGTAAATAAATGGCATTTTCAAGGTCCTATGATGTGACTACTTGCTTTTAACTTTTTTTTTTTTACAGAAAATGCTGGTGATTGGAAAGATGAAGTCGCACAGCCAAAGGCCTCCAGGTAACTATGATAATCCATGACTTCTAATTGTAACTTAGGTGCTGTGCAGATCTCACTGGCAGATCCCTGGGAAACACAATCTGTGCTTGTAGTGCACCTCCGTCATCCAACTGAGGAATTAACGTGTGTGTTACTCTTGATCTTAGCCAAAGGCAAAGAAGCTGTCAGTGTGTTAATGCAGCCCACTTTGTTTTATTTTCTGATATTCAGTGTTACTTCTTACTAGTTTGTTAAACAAATTAATCAGAATTCAGATGAGCTGTTCATGGTCATGGACTTCAAAATTGTATGAATTTGATATTCATTTTTTTGTGATCAAAGTCAGAGATGGTTACATGTTTTTTAAAGACCAATTATAGGGGTGTCATTTTCTCTTAGCTGGAAATATAGATAGATAAACAAAACTTCAACACTATGTAAGTAATAGGTATAAAATACTTTAGGAATTCACTTGCTTTTCCATGTAACTATCCCAAAAAACTTCATGCACTTTTCACTCTGCATGTGGCAACCATCAATTTATAGGGTTCCCTTGGGATATAGTCAAAGAAATCTCTCTCAGAGTTCTTATGGTTAACTTCATACCACTTCCACTGTCCTTGTTTCCTTTCTACTTGTCTTAGAAAATATTTTGGTATAATTCATTATCATGCTAAGAAGCTGACCCAGTTACAAAAACAGCTACGTGAAGGGAGAGATGCCTCTTTGTCCCTTGGGCTGCATCTGGAGTCTCTCCTCACCCAAGATGATCCTGAAGACTACCAGGATCAGGGCCACATGCAACATCTGGCTCACGGTGCAAGATGGCTGAAGATCTTGTTGTTAAGCTCGGTGCAGGTGAGAAGGACACACACCCTGATGAAAGGGAGCTGAAATTGGAAGATAGGTTTTTCTCAAAGAGAAAGGGAGTCAAGAAATGGAGATAATTTTTTCTTTCTTTGAAAGTTGTACTTCTGCCTTCATTGTCTGAGAGAGGAAAGAGATGGGAGAGTGACAGGGAAAATAGGAATTTAGATGGACATATATAAGTACCAATTACCTACAGGAATGTCAACCTGTACTACAAATATGTGCAAAAATGTGGTGGATATAACAAGATGGGAAGAGGGGAGAATGGGTGTGTTATAGGATAAAAAGAATGCAGATGTGGTGTGTGCTGTCCACACTGCCTACAAGGAATGTCAGCGATATATCTCTAATGAGGATTAATGAAATATAGGAACTGCTTTGATAGCCAGGCTCTGAACTCACATCACATTCAACAAGATACAGTTTCCTATGTATAGCTGTTCACATCTTCATTGGGCTGAGAAAATATCAAGACTGTTCAGGTAGAAGAGACAAGACAGGCACACACTGGGTGGAGGCAGGACTTAAGGAAATACTCA